ATATATATATATATAAAACCTGGGATTTCATTAGTTTAGACAATTCCACTACGCTTTAATGAATGCTAAATAGCAATATTTTATTGTAACATGCATTAAATAAACATTCACTATCTGGGAAGGAAGCAAACAGCGACTGGAAAAGGCTAAATTTAAGCACTGATTCTTAGATGTCCCACTTTCAACAGGTAACTAATTCTAACCCACATATACTACCCCACAAGTGTAAGAGACTCAATTAATTTACAGCACGTGAGATCTTATTCCTCCTCCTTCTGTTTTGGCAGTAGTGGGTGCTCTACCACTGAACTACAGCCCCAGCCCTTTTTACTTTCTGTTCACTAAAGTGTCCAGGCAGGACTCGAACTTGTGATCGATCTTTCTACCTCAGCCTCCTCAGTAGCTGGGATTACAGCTGTGTGGTGGCACCGCCACATTCTGTTCAGCAGATTCAAACTGACAAACATTCAACTCAAATAGAAAGAAGTGCTAATCATTAACATTTTCTTCTTTAAATAGTATTTGTTTATTTTCAAATACGACACGGGCTTTGTCAAAACAAGCACTTCACAACTATGTCATCTGAATGTTTTTAAAAAGGTAGACTTTCTTTCAAAATATGTATATGGTAATACAGCAAAGACTTATTCATTCAGGGAGGTAAGCTCTGGTAACACAGCCTTAGTAAAATTAAATTTACTATATTAGTTTTAAAACAATGTGTTTACTACTAGGATTTTAAAAATCAGTTTAATTTCAAAATAATGTATTTTTTAAAACTCTGGAAAGATTAAGGCGTTTACTTAAGGGTTACTTTAGTCAACAAATTATTATCCCTAAGCCTTGAGAAATTTCTCACTTACAGATGGGCCAGGAGGACAGCAATCCAAACCAGAACAGCAAGGTAAGCCTACTTCCCGCCGCAGAGACAGAGTGAGAAGGATGGCGATGATTAGCAACACGGGCAGAGACAGAGATCCAGTGGCCACCGCAGGACAGTGTGGTGGCACATTTCCTTCCCACAGGGTACAAGGCATGGCATGCCATCAGCTGGCCAGCTAGCGGGCAGCTTCTGATCGTCAGAGTGAAGACGGACTCCTCCAATACAACGACCAAGCTATTCTCACTCATTTCACATGCTCAGTCGATTCATTTATTCATGTTGAGGTATTAATATTAAGTATCTAGTATGCACAGGTTTTGTACTGTCCCGCATAAGGAAACAAAAACGTATTTTAAGACAATCAGGGGCTTAATGAGCCATGTGGGTTCATGAAGCTAAATTTCAAACAAAGAAGAGCATCATAAGTAATTTTTCAAGCCTGCAACAGTATTGGCAGAAAGCACTTCTCAAAGCATACCTTATTCACTAGAACAGACAAGTACTCTGTTTTCTATTATTTAGACTCAAATAAAACCTTGTATGTCAGTTGCAAGTTATACCCCTGCACCCCTGCTCAACACTTCCTTCTTTTTTTCGTTTCCCCTGATCTAGTTTCCATTCATAAAAAACAAAGTTGAAGTTGCTTCTCCCTTGAACTTTAGGAGCAGCCAATGACCTGGAGGTCATACTGCCTCAAAAACATCTTTGTCTAAAATGTAATATTCCAGTTCATTATTATTATACTAATTTATGCTTAAGTTTAAAATATAGACATTTTACAACCATGTTAAAGTATCTTAAGTGGAATCACGACAAAATTGTACAGCAAATAAAAACATTGATAATTTTCTGTATGCAGTACTTAAATATTCTAGATTTGGGCAGAATCTTAGTTGAAAGTTGAAAATTCTGCAACTTAATGGGAAAGTATTGTGGATCTTGGATTAATGTTGTCACGTTAAGTATGATGAACTTGAAACTCTACTTCTATATTTCTATGCCCCTAGATACAGAAGTATAATGTATTAGGTGTCATAATATAAAGTAGTTTATTTCTCAAATTTGGTACTTTTGCACATTAACATAAAAAGTTCATTTAGAATATTTCCTTTCAATATCTTAACTAAATTATTCAAATGAAGATATATATAACCAATCTTATTCTTCAATTGCTTCAAAATTGAATTCCAAAATTGAATAAAAATGTCTAAACAGTATAATCTATTCTTTAAGAAAAAATTTTACCTGAAAACACTTCCAGAAGACCTTGAAATCAAAGTTGCCATTAAACCTTCATAAAAACAATTATGTCAGAAATGTCAAGACATTAAAAAAAAAACTTTAAAGGCTCTATTTGTATAATATAAATAGAATTAAACTGCAATATCATCCATCCATATAAAACAAAAAATTATAAGCAAAACAGTTATATCTTTATACAAAATGAACTCTTATACGATATAACTTCTTAATGTTTTCAAACTAACTAAATCAATTTATGTGGTACAATTCAAAGAACTATGAACTGATATTATTAATAAAGCCTAAACCCACACATGGCAAATTTCTCAGCCTCTACATCAGTGGCAGTATACTACTCTTTAAATTTCTTAAAGTCATTTAAATGGTAAAATACTGTCTATAACATTTAATCTCTTGCTAATGCACTGATCTTAAATTTCAGATTGGTAAGCATTCCTACTGACTCACATCACTAAAACAACCCCCCAAAATTAAAGAATTTAAAAATATTATGAGTGAATATTGTTTAGTTTCTGCACAGAATGCCTGAGGAATTACTCTCTTTGGGGAAGGGCATAAGTGTATTTTAACATGAGTAAGTTAAAATATAAACAAGGCAAACTGAGATTTTTAAATAAAAATCGCTAGGTTTTAAAACAATTTATGAACATTGCATATCACACATGCAGCCTGAAGTTACAGAGAAACTAAGAGGAAGACATTGCCAGCCCTCACATCTTAAAATGTCCAAGTCATCTGAAAACCTAATGAATATACATTTCTACAATACAGTACTTAAGTTACAGAAACATTTCTAACATGTCAGCCCTTTGCATTGGGCATCATGCCTGGCCCAAAAATTATTTACAAAGAGCTACAAAAATTATTTGCCACGGGATCACCAACTGAGAAAGAGGACTGCTGTTCATTTAGGCATTAGCTATTATTAACACAAAAAGTAACAAGAATTACTCACCAGGCTTCATCAAAATCACATTCTTAAAAAGATACTCAACTAATGGCAAGAAGGACAGTGGAATAAACACAAGACTGAACTCCTTTGTCTTCGAGCTGCTCCCTGGGCACTGTGGGATCAAGCTCTAAAGAAACGCACGGTGGCTGTCAGGCTGGCCTGCCACTCTGGAAGGCTGACACCAGGCTGACGTCACACCCCAACATGTCATTGCAGCCGCAAATTAAGGCAGCTTCTCCAGGAAGAATCTGTGGTGATTATGCATGCCCGCTACCCACAAGGGTAAAATATGACTGCAATTTCCTTAAAATTGCCAGACAGCACAGGGTAAAGTACCAAGATATACTGTTACAAATAGCTTTTGTAAAAAGGTTTAATGAGAATTTTAAAATAAACTTACCTCCAAATAAATGGATATTTCCTGTTAAAAAATGTAAGCAGACCAACTCTTTTCAAACATTTTGTTGCTGTTTCCAAAGTTAATACATACTTGTTTCAAATTTAAATAGGAAAAAAGGTATGAAGAAGGCTTAAATTGCCTAGATTTCCACAGCCCAGAAATGAACAGTTGCTCAGCTTTCTTAATCGCTTATTCTATGTCAAGCATTTTACAGACTCTCTGTGCCTTATAACCCAACAGAAGAAACTGAGGCACAGAGCAGTTTAGTGACTTGACCAACATCATAATGCACTCCAGAACCACATCACCCAAGGTATTTTATTACTAAGTTATACTAACTAGCAGAAGGTACAACGGCGGTTAACATTTTGGTGAACAGCCTTTCAGACCAGAGTTTGTATACAGAAACACACATTTATTCAACCTACAGGAACTCAATTCTGTTGTTTACCAACACGCCACGGACAGCTTTCCCCATGACTGTTCCTCACCGTTATCTGAACCCTGTGTCCTACGGCAACCACTTCATTTTCAATTCCTTACTATAGTAACACTGTCAAAAACTTTTAAAAAGACTTAAAAAGAAAAAAATATATATGTCTCACTGCCCAACTATTTTAGTGCTTTTCTGTGTTTAGCTGTACTGGACAACTCTCAGAAGTGAGACGGCTAAGCTGAAGCACATGCATGCTTTTCCCATGTAAAAACAATGTCATCAAAAACAGTAACAACTTCTATGTGTACCTCAGGATGTTAGATTTCTCTTTTCTCCACGTCTTCACTCTTACTGAATCTGACAACTATTTCCTTCTTTGCAAATCTAATAGAAAACATGCTACCACACTGTGTTAATTGGGTGTATGTGTATTTTAATTACATTTGGGGTTAGACTTTTCTCCATATGCGTATTCACACTGGAAGCAGCTCAGCTTAGAGGTCAAAAGCACATCCGATCTACAGTCAGATGGTCCCAGTTCGCGCCCAGCTTCTTTCATGTTTTCAGACCTCAGGCAAGTTACCCAGCCTCTTCCTGCTTCTTTTTTTTTTTAAATGGAGAAATAAAGACAATACTTTAATTCCCCTGGGACTTCTGGAAGACTTATATAAGCCAAACCTTGAAAAGCAATTAAGACAGTGCTTACCGCCTAATTGTTACTCAAATGCCAACTCACCTAGTAGCTGACTGTATCTCCTCTCATGCCCTTCACTCAGAATAGTGGTGAACAGAAAACGGGAGACCATTTAAATACACACACACAAAGTATCTTGTTAGAATGTTAATGGTATAAAAATTTTCAGATATTTCAATCTGAGTTATCTTACAACTGACATCTTACAAACACATAACCTAACTGGTGCTAAAACATTCCTTTCATAAGAAACTGCTGTAGCAAAAATTAAAAATAGCACTTCAAGTTGAAGAAACAAAATTGTTTCATCACATAGTTTGAAATCAGAGAAAAGAAGCCAACAGTTTGCTGTAACCAGAAGGTTTTGCATATGTTTTACAGAAAGTGATTCATGAACTTTCTTATTTTTTTTTCAGGTCAAGGTTTTGCTACTTTCTAATTATGCTCAATTTAAAGTTTTTACAACAAGAGAGAAAACAAAATCAAACAAGTATCAAAAAAGAAGAAGCTGGGCATAGTGGTGCATGCCTGTAATCCCAGCACTTAGGAGGCTGAGGCAGGAGGATTTTTGTTGAGTTCCAGGCCAGCCTAGGCTACAAAATGAGTTCAAAGACCAGTCTGAATTGCGTAGTGAGATCCGATCTCAAAAAGACAAAAAAAGAGAAAGAGAATGAGGCAATTTTCCCCCCAGTTCTAAAAGCAAAGTCCCCTTTAAGCCGGGCATGGTGGTACATGCCTATAATCCCAGCACTGGGGAGGCTGAGGCAGGAGGATAGTTGCGAGTTGGAGGCCAGCCTGGGTTGCAAAGTGAGCTCAAGGCCAGCCTCAACTGCATAGACCCTGTCTCAAAACCCCCCCCCCCAAAAAAATCCCCTTTAAAATGACATAAATCGTAACAGTGTATAAACATAATATACGAAAATTAAAATGTAATGAACTTATTATCCCTGTCCTTAAAGCAATTAGACCTCCTATTATGTAATAAAGCATTCAATCATTTTGCAATTGGAATAGTAATAAAATATCTTTGAAAACTTACTAAAGCGGAAGCTTTGTATTATTCTAACAGATTAAGGTGTATTTGCTCTTATGTATTCAGTAAAATTATCCCATCTTAATAAGGCAGACCTTTAAAATAAAGCTGCGGCACAATATGTTTGTAGAACCACACAGGAACACGGTCCTGCATATGGCTGCGAGGAGTAAAACAAGAAAACGAAGCAGTAGAGATCCATCAAACGACTGGAAGATTACAGGGATCCTCAGAAGTAAGAAGCAGGCCAGGTATTTGGTTTACAAAGTTCCCAGGACCCTCCTGCATGGGGTCTTTGCAAGGCGCAGGCCCCTTCATCCACCTGCCTGTGATTTACAGAAGATCTACCACAGGGAAAGCAAATGGGCCTGGAGACAGAATAAGACAAGGTCCTTCCTGTCAAGGTCATACAGCCTGAACTGACAGATGAACAGGGGAGAGCAAGCTGTAAACAGGTCATTATAACATAACTTGATTTGCAGAGCCCAGAAGAGAAAATGGCTAAATGCCTGTGGGAATCTGGAAAAGGCTTAAGGAAGTAAGTGACAGCTGACCTGACTACATCAAGATGAGATTTCAGCCAGAAGCAGCAGGAGTTATAAAAGCATACAGGTAAGAGGAGGTGCCCAAATAACAGAGAAGCTATTTAAGGGGATATGGGCATTTTTCACAACTGTCTTTTTATGACTCTGCCCAGCTTCTCACAAACATCTGCCCAATCCACAGTCTAGGAGAGAAAGCCGAGGTACACAGTGCAGATGGACACTTTGCTTTGGAGGAATAAATTTCTATTTGAATCAGTGGGGAATACTAAATTTCAGTGACTCCTGACTCTCTTTTTCTTGCATATCTACACCACATAGCACGAACCACACTTCATTACACAGTGGCAGAAAAAGCTCAGTGAGAACCTCAAAGTCTTCTCTACCATACAGGGTGTTTGGTGCACTTCTTGGGCACCTGTGTGATAATGACTGAGGATCCAGTTGTAACATGTATCACTTTCCAGACTTTTTGTTACTCACTTCTCTAAGTAGTACTTAAAACTCTTTGACTACTCTTCTTCAAAATGTCAGCTCTCATCTTGATTCATGTGATCTGGTTCTCCAGCATTCAATATCTAACTGCTTTCTTAATTGAGTACCAGTGTACTCATCACTAATATCCAAAGCAGTTCTCTTAAGGAGTAAGAAGCAGATCTACCAAGCTGCCTTCCGACAGCGCCTATCCTGCTGTGCAACACGAAGCAAATGTTTCACCAGCTGGTTTTACCTGCTAGGGCAGTGGTAGCAAACCTGTGGCATGTGTGTGTTATTTGTTTTTCTTTTAAGACAAAAGATGTTAATGTATGAGTTTTTTCTAAATGATAACTTCCGGCATTGAGGCTTAATTGCAGTGTTGCATTTTGTGATAAATAAGTGGGTTTTGGGTTGCAGTTTGGGCACTTGGCTCTAAAAGGTTTGCCATCACTGTCCTAGGCCATTTATTATAAATCTTTCAGAACAAGGCAACACTAGCACAATGAGACGAGAACAACTGAGCATTCTCCCCTAAATGTACACAGAGTGAAGAAAGAATGCACAATAGCCTCCTCTTCCTTTTGCTCAAATTTCTGAGTTCCTTTATCTTGGCCTATGACATACCATACCCTCATGACTTCAAAAGAAACACCAAGCAGGGCATAGTGGTACACACCTGTAATCCCAGTAAAGGCAGGCAGATCCCAAGTGTGAGGCCTCTCTGGCAAGTGAGAAGACCTTGTCTAAAAATTTTAAGAGGGGGCCAGGGATGAGCCTCAGCAACCCCAAGCTTAATCTTAGTATCAGAAACAAAACCAAATAATACAAAAAAACCAGGCAAACAAACAGTAAGAACAATACCATCCAAACCAAGCCCAAACAATGAAATGCCAAATTTAAAATAATTTGAAAATACAGTATTTTCCTCGTATCTTCATTTACCTTCTGTTTAACAGTTTAGTAATCGGGTGAGGACTACATCAATTCAAAGAAACCAGACATTGCACCAGTCATTCTCCTGACACTGGAATAAATATCAGGTCCCCACAGCTTAAACAAAGGCGCAGAGGGTTATTTTGGCTCATGGTTGTTGGAGGGCTCAGTCTGGTTGCTGGGCTCCAAGGCAGAAATGATGGGGTGGAAAGGCAAGGCAGAACAAAGCTGCTCAATCCCAGAATGCAAAGAAGAGAGGAGACAGTGACAAGAGCACACTCTTGCAGGCCAGGCTCCCAGCACTCAGCCTCTTCTGAGCAGGCTTCACCTCCTAGCAACTCCTAGGAATGCACGGGTAGATGGATCTGCACTGCTGAGCACAGCACCACTGGGATCCCATCACTCCCCAAAGTCCCGTATCTGGACACAAGAGACTTGGGGGCAAGTCTAGCTCCATGCCCTAACACTCACACCTAATGATAACCTGGGAAGTTCCGCACACCCCACGCATTTCCTGTTACAGGTAATCTCGATCTCAGTGAAGTCTAGAAGAGAAATAAGCTCTACGCCATCAAGAATCATAATCAGGGGGCTGGGGATTTAGCTCAGCGGCAAAAGCGCCTGCCTGGCAAGCGCAA